GAATTCATGAAGAAGGGTCTTCCTAGCTCCATGCCTGGTGCCCTATTCACTGTACCACCTAGCTGCCCTTCTTAATATATGCTAGTTGACTCACTGTGTGGTTCAGTTGATTCAGTCATGGCAGAATGGTCAAACTTTAAACAGAAGACAACTTTGTCTTGACATCACTTAGAAGATCTATGGGGAGTGAGTGCCCTTAACTAAGGATCAGAGCTTGGTTTTGTGCCATCTAGCACTTTTAGCAATGATCTGCACAAAGGTATTCCTGGCATCCTTTTCAAATCAGATGATGACACCATGCTGAGAAGGTTGTAGGCAATAACTTTAGGAAGGACATTGATCATGTGGAGAATGCCCATTGTAGCAGAATCAGAAGGAGAAGGGATCTGAGTCCAAGTCATAATAAGATCAATTAAAGGAACTGAGGAAGAGAAGAGGTAGACTGGGAGGACGTGGGGAGGAGAGGTGGAGAAGATCCTTATGTCCTGGCATCTGAAGGACCATAGTGTGGTAGAACAGTTAGGCCCCTCAGAAATTCAGAACTTGAGAAGTGAAAGGGACTTCAAGTACCATTCTCCAGTCTAACTCACACACATTGGTTTGTTTCCGAGGGGCAGGACCAGAGGCAGTAGGCTGAAGTTGTAGAGAGACAACCTGAGGCTGCATTTGAAGGGAAAATAACTTCCTCACAGAGCTTCTCAGAAAGAGGAATGGGCTGCCTTGGGAAGCTGCAGGCTCCCCCTCCTTTTCGTGCACTTGCTTACTGGGCATAGAAAGATGGCGATTCCTTTTCAAATGTGGTCTGGACTAGATGGCTACCTAGGTCCCTTCCAACTCTGATATCCTAGTGTTCTGTGGTGCTACTCCAAGGAATCCAGAAAGATCATAAAGGAGGGTGAAATTTTGAGCAAGGAAATGGAGATCTTGGGTGTACAGGTGGCATTCTTCTCTTGGTTCCAGAACAAAAGAAATGGCTTTGGATGAGTAAGGCAGCTTGGAGAAGCAAGCAGTTGGCTAGGAAGATGGTGTCTGACCATGGGATTTGGATTTCTGGACAGTGTCTTGAAATGTAGGGATGACAGGTTGTTGGCAAGAGACAGCACACGCAAGACAGGGGCCAGTAAGAATGCATTGGCTGCAGTTATAAAAGTCGAATCAAAAGGGATTTAAGCTGAAAAGGATTGGGGAGGGAGCCAACTGCCTAGGTCCATGCACTAAGCTAAATACCACTGAGAGGAGCCACAGCGTAAGGAGGATAGGAGGAACAATGTTCAGAAATTCACAGTAAATGAAATCCAAAAAAGGAGCAAGCATGAAAACCCACATCTCCAAATCTCTAAACGTGACTGCCCTAAATATGGATTGGGAGCAAGATGAAAGGAAGAATGTAATGCAAACAGACCCAATCTTCCTCATTAGCCCACTGAGGTATGGTGTGATGACACACATGACTGGAATAAGGCTTTAGAAGGGCTACCTCATACTCAAAGGACAGGATAAGTAACAGGGGGCAAGTAGAACAGCATTCGTCCTGCAGAAGACCTTCCAGGGTGATGGAATCTAGGAATCAGAGAAGGGAAGCATGTCAGGGAATATTTCAGTGTCGAGAAACAAAGGTAGGAAGAAGAGCAATATTGTTATGAGAATTTCTACAGACCACCTAGGCAGAGAGGAGAAATAGATGCATCATCTGGGAAACTGATCACACAGCTAGGGTGTTAGCACAGCAGTGATAGGAGGCTTCATTTCTCCTGACATCTCCCTGAGCTTTCTCTTCTCAAAGCAGAGAGCTAGCTGCTGCTTCTTCTTTGTTTAACTTGCATTAATAAGGAACAGACATGGGGAACTGCTATTTTTGATCTGATTCTCACCAACAAGAAGAAACAGTTTGCCACAGTGGAAATGATGGGAACCTTGAGGGGGAAGTAACTAGTCCCTCTTAGAGTCTGTGACAGAGCAACATTGGGCGTAATCTGACATTTACTCTAAATTGAGGAGAGATTTCAAAGGGTGCGAAAAAAGAGAGTTGTCAGCTCTCAAAAATGAAATGTCAAGACCACATATCCAACAATTACAACTCTTCCAAAGTGGAATGGGATCCCTTAAGAGATGGTAGGTTCCCTTCCTAGCCCTGGAGGTCTCCAAGTAGAGGCTGAATGACCACCCATCTCATGTATTATAGTAGAGTGGAATGTTTTAAGTGTGGTTTACGTTGCATTATCAATGACTGATATGGAAATATATTTAATATGATTGCACACTTATAACCTATATCAGATTGTTTGCTGTCTTGGGGGGGGGGAGGTGAGGGAGGGAGGGAGAAAAAAATTAGAACTCGAAATCTTGTAAAAGTGAATGTTGAAAACTACCTTCATATGTAATTGGAAAAAAATACTATTAAATACATTACATGATCAATGAGATCCCTTCCAATCACGAAATTGAACTGAGAGATTGGATACAAAGAGTGGACACTGGTGATTTAATTTCATCTTGGAGGGAAAGTGAGGCAGCTAGGTAGTGGAGCTTATGTTAGATTCTGTCCCTCCCTACAAGGCAAAAACACCCAGAAACAATCAACATGGAGCACTGGCCTGGAGTCAAGAAGATCTGAGGTCAAATCTGATGTCAGATACGTACTAGCTGTATGACCCTGAGCAAATAACTTAACTTCTGTTTGCCTCTATTTCTGAACTGTAAAATGGGGATAATAATAGCACCTACCTCCAAAGTTGTCATGGAAATCAAATGTGATGACATCTGTGTAATGCCTGGCCTATAATAAATGCTATATAAATGTTCTCACTGTTATCATTAATGATGATGACACTGATAAATTTTCAGTCTCTGGCCCTAGGAATCTCTGTCGCTTTGCTTGACAACAAGTGTTTTATCAAACACTTGAAAAAAGGCACATCTGACATGATTATCAAAGTATCAGCTGACTCCAGACTGAAAGGGGGATAATCAACACATTGAAAGATAAGAGAGTCAAGACCTCAAGAGTTCTCCACAGGCTAGATCAACATAGCTAATCAAAGAAGATGAAATTGAATGGTTAGACCTATAACATTCTATACTTTGGTCAAAAAAATCAACTTCACCCTCCTCTCTAGGGGAGACATGGCTAGGGATCAATTCATCTGAAAAGGATATGGGGATGCTAGTGGTCTGCAAGCTCAATTTTAGATAATGGTGTGATATGATGACCAAAGAAGCATTGTTTCATGGCCCTGAGAGTTACATCAAAGAGCTTCTGTTTGATTCTGCCTAAGCCCTATAGGGCAGAAAAATAAAAAAACAAACAAAACAAAACAAAATCCATTTTTTTGGCCCCACATCTCCACCCAGAGAATGTACCATACCATGGAAAGGCCCAGCAAGGACATAACCAATAGACACATTCTCCATTCTCCTCAGACCCTCAAATAACGACGGAGCGACACTGACAGGAGAAAGAGAAAATGAAATACGAGGAGGAAGAAGGAAGAAAGAAAATAATGGGGGTGGGGAAAGGGGGAGGAATGAAATGGAGAAGGACAGCAGCTTCAAAAGCAGCCTTTGCCCAACTAAGTTGGAAGAGAGATAATGGGAGTATGTCTTCATTTCTCTGGCCTTGGTTTCCAATGCGCAGAATAAGGCATCTGGGCTAGACCCATTCAGGATTTCTTCTGCCCTTTCTGACGCTCTTAAGCCCTAGGTTCCAAGAATCATAGGTTGCCACTTTGAGTTCTAATATTCTGCTCTTCTTTGGTTTCTGCTCATGTATTAGATACCAATCACACACAGAAATGGACCCGGGGGATGCCACGTGGCCTCGGGGCATGATGGGCAGGACACTGACTTTGGAGTCCGCAAGACCCTGATTCATTCCCAGCCTCAGTTATCAGCCGCCTGCTCAAGGACAAAGTCTCAGCTTTTGTTCCTCCAACTGTAAACAAGGTGTAATGATGGTACCCAGATATGGGGTAAGCATCACATGAAACATCACATACAAAGCATGGGACCCAGTGGAAAGTGCCAGACTCAGGGGTACGGGCCTGGGCTGGAACCATAAGCAGAGCACCTGGCAGCTGTGTGGCTTTGCTGGCTGGGCCTCAGCTTCCTCCTCTGTACAATGGGGGGATTGGGTTAGATAGGCTCCAAGGGCCCTTTCAGAGTGAGGATCCTAAGGGATATTGGAATAGGAGCCCAGAAGTCAGAAGCCATGGCTCCGAGAGGGGAAGAGAAGGACCCTAGACTCTAGGGCTGAAGCTGAAAGGACCCCAGAATACAGGATACACAATGTAGGAACTGGGAGGGACATTAGAACCTAGAACTGAGGGATACATTAGAACAAAGAATATTAGAGCTGAAAGGGACCTTAGAACATAGAATGTCATAGGTGAGGGGGAGTTTAGAACATAGAACATGGAATGCCAAAGCTGGAAAATACCTTAAAATTCAGGGATCTCAGGGCAGGGTCTTAGACCCTGCATCTATCCCCTGAGCAATAAAGTGGAAAGATCACTGGGCCTGGACTCAAGAGAGTCTAAGGATAAAATGAAACATAGTATGGGTTGGACTCCCACCCTTGTACTTCCTAGCTGTGTGACAGTAGGTAAGCCTCAGTCTCTTCCCCTGTCAAATGGGCATAACGATGACCACAGTAGCTAAGTCACGAGGTTGGTCTGAGCCCCCAAAGTGAGATAATGTACATGGAATGCTTTGCAATTTATGAAATGTTATTTTTTTTAAATTAATGTTGGCTATACATGTCATTATCACATAGAAGATCAAAGCTAGAAGGGACCTTACTGACCATTCAGGAAAACCTTGACATTTTAGAAGAGGATAAATAAGGGCCATGAGACCCAGGTTCAGTGATTCACCAAGCATGCCCAGTTGAGTTGGGTGTCTGCTTTGGAGCCTTGATGGGGGTCTTCAGTCCACTCGTAATTGTTCCTGCCCCAACCTCCTGACAGAACCCTCTCCGTCCGAAACACAGGTTCTTTACTTACGTCTGCAGGGCTGGAGAAAGCTGGGCCTGCCTGAGAGGAAGAGAGTAGATGCTCAGTGTGGAGGGATCTGATGCAGTCCTGCTGGACAGCTGCTCGATGACCAGCGAGTAGAACAGGGAACTTGGGTCTGTCAACCAAAGAGACAAAACATAATGGGTGAGGTCTTTTTTACATGTTACTTTGTTGATTTGGTTTTAGAGATCAAATTCATTTTCATAATAATTTCCGCTTTTACTATATCCTTAAAACAAAGAACAACAGTTAAGCAGAACTGACTGACATTGCAATTGCATTTGACAGTGTATGAAACATTCAATATTCATAGACCTCTACCCTTCCAAGGTACAAAGAGATGCATTTCTTTACGACCCGTCAGATCTTATGGAAATCAGGAAGCCCTCCTATCTACTTCCTATAAAATCCTTTCTCAAACATGAGAAGGAGCTGGGTGCTGAGCTTCAGCCTCATTTTCCCCATCTGTAAAATGAGGGCTTCAGGTTCTCCAAGGCCTTTTCAGGTTTAACTGTATGTGGTTCTTTGATTCTGTTGAAGCAGGACTTTTGGAACTCATTGAAGCAGGAGATGTGTGCCAGGCAGGGGCTAGGTTAATGACACACTAAGAAGGAGATAGTTCTCCTTAAATCTTAAAGGGCAGCCTGTGGTCTTCATGCTTCCTCACACATAGACTTCTCCAAGGAAATTGCTGCTCAGACACATCATATTTTGCAAAGTTGCCATGACAAATATTTTCGAGATGTGACACTGACCATAACCAGGCTCCCCCAGCCCATTACCTGGTCAGGAGGAATTCCACAGTAAAATAGCTCCCATCCTCAATGGAGCCCAATTTATCTTTGTCCCACCACCGATGCCCTGAACACTGTAGGTATTTTTTTTTTTTGATAAATGGACATATAGGCCTCACCGGCACCAAAATCCATCCCAGAAAACAGAGTTTGGAGAGGAAAAGTGAAATAGAATAGAGATTATCAGGGATAGGATGGACTTTGGGCCATGGAATGCCAGAGCTGGAGGAACTTAGAACAGAGAACACAGCAGGTTGGAGCTGGGAGCGGGGCTGGAGATAACCAAATCCAAGCCAGTCATTTAACATGTGGGGACATGGGGCCCAGAGAGAGAGCCTTGTTTGCGTCCCACACCACTGATGGGTCCCAGGAGGCCATGACCCTGCAGCTGCAGATCCTCCTCCCCTCCATCCTTTCCCACCCCCTCAAACCATTATTCCATGAGCGGCATCCAGCTGTTGTGAGGAAACTTCTCAGTGCATGCTGTTGAGTCATGCTGAGGCCACACGCTTATCAAGGAAAATGGCCACCAAATGGGGAAGAAAGTGAAAAAGTCCCATCCTGGTAGAGGGAGGGGAAACTCCAACCACAAAATCCTAACTGCACTCATGTCCTCCAACTCAGCAGCTGTGACCGCAGTCACTTGTCTCCCAGTGACGGTAATGGCCTGGCTGGCTTCCGTAGACCATGGAGTCTAATGCTGAGACCATGCTAAGACTACAGATTCCACAGCTGATTGAGTGTCAATCAATCAGTCAATAGCATTATGAAGCACTGATGTGCCAGGCACTGTGTTGGGTACGGGGGATAGAAAGAGACGGAATGAAACAAAGATGGAGATGTTGGGGGGAGGGGCAGAGGCAGCCAATGACAATCTGGGGAACATGGCTGCTGGTGCTGCTTTTGATGGGGCTGAGGGAAGAGCAAGGAAATGGGGGGGTCCCCTCCATGCCACAGTCAGGTCCAGCTGTCTGCCCAGACCCAGGCAAGAGAGATCGAAGAGCTCACTCCGGGTAAACATCAATGGCAGCTGTTTACTGACACTGGCCACTGTGTTTACATAGCACCTTTCCGGGAAGGCCAGGTCAAGCAGGGACACGGGAACGGCAGGACCAGGACAAGCTGAAGCCTGGGAACTAGCTTCCTGGTCTGCCCACAGAAACCTCACTGTTTGGTTGTGAGCTCTGCACAAAAATAGTAGCTCACATATAGAAGAGGGAGAGAGAGACAGAGAGGGAGATAGAAGGGGGGGAGAGAGAGAGAGAGGGAGGGAGGGAGGGAGGAGGGAGAGAGAGAGAGAGAGAGAGAGAGAGAGAGAGAGAGAGAGAGAGAGAGAGAGAGAGAGAGAGAGAGAGAGAGAGAGAGAGAGGGAGAGGGGAGAGGGGAGAGGGAGAATACATCTGGAAACAGTCCTCCCTGAACATAAAGTTATGTGAATCCAGAGACAATCTGGGATTTCTCCCAGGTCACTGTAGGGGACTCCCAATTTCAGAATTCCCTCTAACATCTATGCAGACAAGTTCCCGGTCTGAAGCATCAGGAGGTTCAGGGACTTGCCCAGGGTCACACACTGAGTAACTAAGGTGGGATCTGAACTCATTTCCCTATGCCATATAGAATACCCCCTATACTCTCTGCCTCTTAGTCAGTGGATTCAGTGAGAAATTGTCTACAATGACTTTTCAGAATATCTATGAGAGGCTTTTCATAACCAGTCACTGGTTAAACAGAACCACATAATATCTGACTTGGCAGCATTTCAGACCCACTCCCACCTGAGCAGGAATCTCCGCTGTAGCATCCCTAACAAGAGGTCATTCTACCTCCGCCTGTCTACCTCTAGTGACAGGGAGCTCACTACCTCCCAAGGCAAGCCATTCTGTGTTACTACAACTCTGCTCTCTGGGGCCAAGAAGAAAAAGTGAATCTCTTCTCGAGAGGCCATCTCCTCCAATCCGTTAAGACAACGGTCATGTAAAGCCTGTCTTCTCCAGGCTAACCTTCCTTAGGGTGTCCTGTTGCTTCCTAATCCTCCTCGCTTTCCCCTGGACATTTGGTGGCCCCTGGATTTGGAATGAATAAGACCTGATTTCAAATCCAGCTTTGGACACTAACTAGCGGTGTGACTCTGAGCAGGGCAGTTAACCTCTGCTTACTCAGTTTCCTCATTTGCAAAATGGGGATAATCATAGCACCACCCTCCCAGGGCTGTTTTGAGGATCAAAGATCACATTTGTGAGTGCCATATAAATGTTATTGATGACGGTGGTGGTGGTGGTGATGGTGGTGATGATGATGATGGTGATGATGGTGATGATGTAAAGATAAACTCTCAGATTGTTCTTCCTGAGACAAGAATCTTTGGTCCCAGGCTGCTCATGGTCACCAGCATACCTGTGGCTCCCTTCATAAATGTCTTGGGACTCTCAATGATTCACAAGATCCAGAAATCCCCATGCTTGTACCACAGGCTCCTGGGGGTCCAGAACAGGGCCTGGCCTATTTCTGCTCGGTCTCAGGGGATGGAGCCAAGAGCAGCGGGGAGAGAAACTGACAAGAGGCAGATTGGGGCTGGGGGTGGGGGTGGCCAAGAACAAATAGGTCTTTGAATCCCCACGCTTTTCTGCTGCTCACCTAGGCCTGCATGGACTCATCTTTAAATAGCTCTTGCTATAAAAGCCTCCAAATAACTCAGCAGGAACAAATTTCTAAAACAGCTGGAGTCTCTGGTTTCCTCGACACATTTTCTTCAAAGGAATTGACCTGCTGCTGCCTGGTTGAATCCATCAGTGTAGAGGAGACAGATTCTGGGTGTGCAGACTGGAAACCCAAAGGTGACAGGTATCCAGCCTCTGTCACTCACTCGCCATGTGGACCAAAGGATGGCCCTTCCTCTCCCAAACTGAGCCTCAGTTTCCCCATCTTTAAGACGGGGCTGACAGTATCTGCCAGAATTGCTTAACATGCCTATTGGGAACACTACACCAAATCCCTTGTTCTATGTCCAAATATATTATGAAAATCCCAGGAGCCCCAAGGGGTGATGGAGAGGCCTTATGCTGGGTGCATGCCCAGGCTGCAGTGCCTCACCATGACCACATATGTACAAAAAGGGTTATAAAGGTGGGAGATACCTGATAGGAAACAGCTCCCATTTAGAGTGATTTCTAACGTAATCATGACACAACTCAAATCTGATTGCTCTTTGCCTAAGGCAGAGGAGAACTTTCCTGAGCCCAAGGTTGTAGAATCTTGCCTCCTCCAAGTCCTTCTTAACCCTGCAGCCCTTCCCATTTCTGCCTCCACCTCCATCATCTTCATGCCTCAAACCCAATGTTGGGGAGCAATGCGGCAGAGTTGAACAGGGATACTGGGTGTACAGGTCCCAGGAGGACATGGGTTTGAATCACAGCTCTACCATGTGACTTGGGGCAAATCCCTTAACGTCTCTGGTCCTCAGTTTCCTCATTTGTAAAGCGAAGAAGTTGAACTACATGGCCTCTGAAGGTCCTCCATACTGCAGATTCATGATCCTATGAAGTGAGTGCTAAAGACAGGATTTGAATCCAGGTCTTTCTGACTCCAAAACCAAGAATCTGTCCCCTATACTGTACTGACAGGCTAGGGTTAGTTTCTCCCCTGTTCTTAATCACCTCTCACCTAGACTATCTGTGACCTTCTGACTGTTCAATCATTGATTTATCCTTGATGATGAGGGTCATAAAACCCCTAATTCACATTGCCCCCTTGCTGAGTCAGTCAGCAGGCATTTTAGGTGTCTACTATGTGCCAGGCATTGTGCTAAGTGCTGAAGATACAAAGGAAGGCAAGAACAGAGTCCCTGTCCTCAATGAGCTCAGGGTCTAACGAAGGAGACAAGAAGACATCTGCAGACAAATGAGGTCCATACAGGAGAAACTGAAGGTAAGCAAGAGAAGGGAGGCATTAGCATCGAGTGGGACCAAGAGAGACTGCCTACAGAAGCGGTGACTTCAGGGCCTGTTGGAAGCCAGGAGGTTGAGAGGAGGAGGGAAAACACTTCAGAGTTGGGAGACAGTCACCAAAAGTCCTATGAGTTGTCTGTGGAGACAGGTGTCACTAAAGACCATCAGTAGCTTCTGACTGGCTATTAATGAAAATGTAAACTTCTTCTCCTGACATTCAAGGCCTCTCATCACCTGGCTGCAGTCTATGTCTCTGGATTTAATTATCTCGAATATGCCTATAGCAGTAATGACCTCAGTCACCATTACTCCCCATCACATTTTCTATGTGCTAGCTGACCTGTACTTTTGGCCATTCCTAAATATTGATGCCCCCT